AAGACGAGAGCTGAAACGTATTTCGTTGTGTGTGCCTTATTTGACTGTAAAGTTAAAGTGACTTTCCCGATCCCGTACCTCAAGGGGACGAGATAGAGAGACGAGACGAGTTTCCCCCCTGACAAGTGTGGAGACCCAGAGAGAGAAGGGATTTTCCCCGTGATAGTAACATAAAACAATTATACGTCTTTACGCCCTCTACGCCAGGCGAAGATTTTGAAACCACCCAAATGAATAGTATCAAAATAGCTTCGTTTTTAAGTGAACACCAACACAGAATTGTTCGGTGGATATGATGTTTATGTATAAGTTACGACGTGAAGTTGAATAAATGACTTACTGCAAGCCGTTTCATCCGAGAAATCACCGCAGTCATCAACCCCGTTACATCGATGCGATGCTGACACACAACGCGAGTTATCGCACGAGAACTCTGCATGATTCGACCAAACATCGTCTTCTCCGTCTAAACAACCTGAAAGAAACGTAGTCGCCGAAAAATTATTCGTATTGGCGACAGAAAAATAGTGTATGGGAATACGATCCCTTATCGAACACAAACCATCGACCTTGCTCTACAGACATTTCGGTCTGGAAATAAAACGAGAAAAAAAATTATATTTTTGGTGGAGGAAATAATTTTTTGTGAAAATGACGTAATTTCCGGATTGCCGTGGATTTTCAAATCTGACTCATATTTAGGAATTTTTCTCCAGAAAAAGTTGACCCATATGTAGGGATTATTCATGGAAAAATGACACATTTGGGCGGCACATCAGGTATATCTTTCCATTGTGAATACCGCGCCCGTTCTAAAATGTGCAAGAATTAATTTTTTTCGCTCAAGAGGCGGTGGGTCGTCGTGGTACATTGAATGTGGCCATATCTAAGACGACAGTGGGTGTGTGCATTGTTGGGATCATCGGTGACAAGTTGCTATCTCGCAGACCACAAACCAGGACACGACTTACGTGAGCAATTATGTTCGTCTGAATAATCAACACACTGCAACACACCATCACATACATGCGACGATGGCACGCATTGACCCGCACATCGAAACGCTTCACTGTCACAATCTATAAGTGAGATAAGTAATACACGGTAAAGTCGAGTTACAATTACCGAGTATGCCAAAGCTACTCATAACATGTAATTCACCATTCTATAAAATACGCCGTTCTCATTAATCGCGTCGTTTATCAATGTACGTCAGTACTAATCGTGAGCTTTTGCTGTCATTATAGAAATTATATATTCTGAAGATTATATTGAATTGTGTCTATGTAGATTATAAAATGACACGCCCTGTATACATGGTTTTGAAGTTACGAGCGCGGAGTGATCTGATTGGTGGAGGGCGCATAGCCATGTTAGAATTATTGTAATTGTATTTATACCGTAGCAGTTCTTTTCGTCGCTATTGTTATCACAATCATCGACGCCATCACACATACAGTCACTGTGAAGACAAGTTCCATCACCACAGAAAAAATCAAACACACCACATTCTGTGAAACAAAACATGCACAAATACACATTATGCATTCATAATATTTTTAATGATGAAATGTAACATGTGACCCCCAAGTCGTGCTTTAAAAACGTGCGTCGGAGTTTCCAATCACATGGCTAGTGATTATCGCGATATGGCCAGTTGAGTCAAAACATATATAAAAGGTAGAATTTAATACGACAAGCTAGTCTCTGATCGGCATGACATTTTAACACCAGGTCTTCATTATAGTATCGTCCTAGTAATAAGGGTCGGGCGCAATAATTCCTGTTATGGCGAGTATGTTACGAGATTAGCTAACATTGCGATATTTAACCAGAATGAGAAACGTATTTTTTAGGCATTTACACTTTTAATTAAGTAGGGTTAAATACATATGCAAGGCCCAAAAGGAAGGACAGCCAATGAAATCTAATATTTAATAATTACAGCGTTTAATGACTTAAAAATAAACTTAAATTCATATATTTATACCTGTAGTGGGACAACACTGCTCGTCGGAGTGGTCAGGACAGTTATAAACTGCGTCACACTTCATAACAAGGGAAATGCATACACCGTCTTTACATTGGTACTCATCCGATGAACACACTGAAACATACATAATATAAGATATGTATGACTCATACCCATGTATATATCAGGGTGTTTGTGAAAAATGAATGGTATTAAAATATTGATTTCCATTTCACGTTAAGATGAGACCATTTTTCCATACATAGGTACGCATGGGACCTTGACCTTCTGTGGTGTTGGCCTCCGCTTTCGTTTTCTTAAACTTTTCTACAAGTATGTTTAAATTTTCGTTTTTCCTTTTCCAATATTTGTTCAAATTAAGTTTATAAATGAAAATAAACCACAGAGTATGATAATTACGAATGTTTGTGCTTTTGGTATTATTTTTAATCATTATATTTATTATAAGAGAGAATACATTTAATCATCTCTAGATTTCTACGCCAATGTTACGTAATCGTGTTTCCACATGTTACTAGTAATTTTTAACCTTATCGCCACAAGTCACAACTAGACCGACTGTGAAAACAGTGGATTAAAACCAATGGTTTTGACAAATGTTTGTTGTAAACATAATGATCTAAATTAAAATATACATTACCAAGACCATTCACCACGTTAGATCGAGATGCATATACACCAACTGTAACAGCAAGTGATATAAATACCACCGTGCATACAGGAATTGCTATGAAAAATACTCTTCTTATACCATCTTTTTTCTTATTTGTGTTGAGTGTACTGGTGGGTTCCATGTAGTTATCAGCCATCCTACCATATGAGACAGTCACTACGTAGCAAGAACCAGATGTTTGCTGTCTTAAGGCAAAACTGTTATTACTGTTTAGCATAATTTATTCATTTAGTTCAACCAAATGCTGTTTTTATGATTACACAATATTCATGCAGTTTTATTATGATTATTTCACCTGAAGCATATCATCTATATAAGTTATTAATAAATGGCATATGACAGTTCAAGCTCATTTTGAAATTTCAATAAATACAAATTTTGTGAAAAAAATAAATTAACTATCAGTAAGTCCGTATACTAGCAGCATTATTACCTTGGCGACCTTCGTTTTCAGAGCAAATGTACCGTCGATAGTTTGATAAAAAACAAATAAAGAAAATTGAACCATGAACGTATTATTGACTATTCGCATTGTGCATTGCATAGGATTCACATATTCAATTATTTGAAATGTTTCCCTGATTCCTATCTATATAAAATGTAAAACTCAACCACATGGAAATATTGGTGAAATAACAATCATTATAAGTTACATAATGTAGTCAACAATTATATGGAAGCAACAGCAAATTGTGATAGACCTTTTAACTTCGGAGTTTGTTTGAAATAGATTACGATTATAAGCGACAATCAGTTATAGGAATCGATCTCAATTTTGGAGATCAGAATTGGTGAGTATTCCCAGTATCTTTGAAATGAAATGAAAGATACTGGATCTTTGAAATGCTTTTGTTTTGTTTTTTGCTATTAAAGAGTAACATTTGACATCCTCAGCCTTGTTTTCCCACTGTGTGCACAGTGCTGACCCATGATTATCCCTTGCAGTTGTATGAAACTATGGCCTCTTTTTGTAGCATTGTTTAGTATCAACTGAGCCTTGCTCGGGTTTGATGCAGGATCCCCCTAAGGCACTTTGTCTGTTACAGTAGGAATTTGAATTAGACTTACTAAAATATTACTCATTTTGTGTAGCTATGCATGAAACCCTCCTATATCCTGTTAATTTATTGCTTACTTCCTACTGCTATAAGCTTGTCAAATGATATTAAAGTGTTTTTCTGGTATTGCTTGCCAAACATAGCAGTTTAGAGCTTCAGAGAACTCGTGCATCAGTTCATAGACGTCTTTCAGTATCAAAACCACAAGCTATGACATCACACTTTTGTTGTCAAATACAATAGAGTAGTGCATATTGGATGCATACCGCCAGGGACAGCCGCTGTTGGTGGCTCATGCAGATATCTTTTCAGTGTAAAAACAAAAAGTATTGTCAAATCTAGTGACCAGTTACAAACAATGAATTAAGAAAACAAAAATGTTACAAAGAGTTACAAAAATTATAACTTGATGTTCAATTTACATTTAACCAAACTTAGAGTTATCGGAAACATATTGATGTTTTTTAACTGTTGTGTTCATAACTAGAACAATTTAATCATCTCAATAAAAGTGTGAAAAGTCTTCTAATTACCACAATGGATCAACTAATGTGTGCTGTGTTTTTTGTTATCGGTAATTATTTTATATTTTTGTTTTGAAACTGTAAAGTAGTGAATGCACAAATGTTAATATTGAAAGTCGGTTTTGAAAACTGTCTCTAGAATGTGAATATATAGAATGTCACTTATTAGTGAGAGAATCTATTGAACTTCGTGTTCACCAGCTGTAATATTATTTCAATATTTACTAAGCCGTAGTTCTTACTTTCAGAAATAAATTGTACACGTTTCAGTTTCAAGTATTTTATATCATTGGTTTATTCAAGTGACATTTTTACATATTAAACATATATATTGTATTATTACCACTTCTGTCTGGACAATAACAAATACTCTTTTCAGAGATATGGTTTAAAACAAATGGCCAAATATTATGATAGCAGTTGTGTCTTTCTGAAATTTTTGTTTCTGATGTTTCTGATGCTGACAGTCGGAAACCATTCATGATGTTGTATAGAAAAAACACATACCGTTAAATTAGTATTCAAGTAATGTTTATAACATATGCACATTATGTAACGCTGGGAAGTTTCTGGATGTTATCACGTCAGCGTTTTTTTGTTAACACATTATTTAAATGTGATGAAATTATACTAGAAATGTTCACAGCATTGTACAAAGGTTGATGACAACCCTTGAATGACAATTATTTATAGATTTGAAGCATTTTACAAAAAATTCATTTTTGTATTACTTTCAATAGATGATACAGGAACTATTTGTTTTTTCTCATCTTCTTCAACAGTGAATCTCTCAATGCAATCTGAAAACAAACAGAAGTAAACAAATATTAACAGCATATACAACACAGGGTTAGCATTAACAATAATAATTATAATATTATATAATTATTGGATTTCGACCTCTATACAGAGTCTACTATATATATATATATATATATATACAATGTATATATTAAATATATACATCTATACGCTAATTAGCTAATTAATACTAATGGCAGGATTAGCTACTAATAACCTACTAGTATAATAGATTTTGTTTTTCAGAACAACGTCAACTTGAGATGAATGTATTGAATAATAAGATTGAGTGAAATTCAACTAATGACTCTGATCTTCAAGGTTTTGACTTTTGTCTTTCAAGCCACTTTTATTTTACATCAATAAAAATGGCATCATAATAAATAAGAATGCAATCAATTAAAAACCACAATTGATGTGGCAATCTGTATACTATACAATTATTTATTTTCATTTGGAATTAATTTTTGCTATTTTCGCTGAAGAGATGATTCAGTAAATATAAAATCTAGGGAATATACCTTTTTTTCTATATTTTAAATTCAAATAAATGCCATAACAAACACCTGAAAAGTCTATTCAGCAAAAATTAATTAACGCTGACATATTTTACAATATATAGTAATGTATACAATATATTAAGCAATTTTCATCACCATTACTCTTAAAATCCCCTTGTCATAGAAGTACAAAGCAAAGACGTTACTAGAATTGAAAATACACACTTAGCAGCACAATATATACATAGCTATTTTATGGCAAGTATAACATGTTATAACGATATAAAAAATAGCTCAGGTACGTATTTGGTGGATATAAAAACTCTGAGAATAAAATAAATATTATAATACCAAATACCCTCGCTTTAAGTTTATCACCTCTTGTCATGAATGAATCTTAAATACATTCAGTTTGAGACCTTAATCCACAAATATACATTGTATGCAGCTGAAATCAGTTCAAGATTGTAAGCTATAATTCTGAAATTGAATGATCCATGATGTGTTCAACAGTTGTATGAGACAGGGTAATCAGCAAAGTTAACATATACAAAGATGAATGAAAATTACCTGTTTATCTCGAAATGATCTCTTGCATTTTGCTTTAATTTGTCTTTTCTGCTTGACCATCATAAATGGTTTTTGTTTACGTTTCTCCTTATTTGTTGTACTTGCATGTGGGTTTAGTCGACCTCTCTTAGATCCAAACTTCGGCCTATCAACACGACCAGTCTAAAAATAAACAACATATATTGTGTTCACTTATTTTTTGTGTTCTTTAAACAGCGTAAATAAAAACAGATGTAAATATGTTGAACAGGCATAAATATGGTGGAGTTTAAGTTCATTT